CGGGGTTCAAGGCGGTCGCGGGAGGGGCCCGGCGGCAAGGGAACGGGTCATCGCGGCGGTGGCGGCGGCGGCGGCGGCGACGGCGGCAAGATGGGCGATGTGCAACGTCGCTGCGGCGGCAACGGGGCGGAGGCGGTTGGCGGCGGCGGCGAGGGCGGGGCGGCGGTGGCGGGCCGCGGCGGGCGGGGTGGGGCTGGGGTGGGGGAAGCACAGACGGAGCGGGGGCGGACGGCCACTGCGGACGCCCGGCGCGGCGCGCGGCGGGCGGAGTTTGCAAGGGGCAGATGCACACGCATTTTTGGAGCGAGCTTCACGCGAACTAAGATTTTTCCGATTGCTTCGTGAGCTGAGGCTTGTCGGCTGGCCGCGCCTTCTCGGAACCGCCGCTGCGAATATTTCGCAGAACGCCATTTACATGCATCGCGTAGGACGCGCGAGATTGAAGAGCGACTGGCTTTTACAGTCTTAAAACAGTCCTGCGTCGAGGCGATTTCTCGGGCGAAAATACTGCGGGATGCGTTCGCACACGCGGTTCATGTGAGCAGGGCAGTCGGGAGAGAGCGGACGGCCTTAAGGGCACGCTACAGGTATGGCGGGGCGGGGCTGGAATGGACTGGTCTAGGTGGACTGAGCGCGCGCTGCTCACACCGAAACGGCAGGGCACTGTTGAAGCGGGGAAGGGAACGGACAAGAAAAGGAGAATCGCCAAAATGCGAAACGAAGCGTACGCCCAGTGCAATGATGCTGGGTCACGCTATAAGAGAATGGCCACGCGAAAAGTTAGCGAAAAACAGAATACTGGAACATCGACTCGAAGTAATAAAAGAAAATGTTAGAAGGGTATATAAATAAGAGCCATTCGAATAACGTTGGCACAGCAAAGCAAGAACGCGAGGCAGGTGTCCTGGCACACGAACGGACCCTTAGACATTTAGGGCAACAAGTAATTACTGGAATACACACACACACCTTGAAAAACTAAAGGGAGCGTAAAAAGCAATCACAAGCAAGAACAAAGAGAGGACGAAGAAATAAAAACCATCCGAAGGGAATATATTATAATATAATGAAAAATATTCTTGTAATGAAAATGAGTCGACGCTGGCAAGACACTTGTAAGATACCAAGACAAAATAAGTAGCATTGAGAAACACTTCAAAAAGTTTATTTCCCAGAATTCTGCGCGCTTACAAGCAACCTTTTCGAGGCGGAATTACAGCTCGTGGAAGGCGACCGATGGGAGGCCCGGCCGCTGCCCCCCCCCCTCCCGCGGACACTCTGTCCATTTTTGCATTGCAAAATTTGATGACAAAACAGCTCTGTGGCTCTTCAGCTCGTAGGAGCAAGTAGTTTCAAGCATTAGGTAATACGAAGATCGTGGCTTCTTGAAACATTAGAAATAAAGTAAGCAGAATTTACGAGTGTGAGTGAATATTTGCGCATTTTTAATGAATGGGAGTAACATTAATTGAGTTATCATATGGCTGCCAGATTGTGAAGAAACGAAAAGGGGAGTCGATAGGATATCTGAGGTTGTGCGGGTTAGTCCGTGTCCGTTAGAACAGCGTGTATTTATCTGCATTGCGGTGTTCACGTTCAACGGCGCCCAACACTGCCTTGCTGCTGTTCCTAGGCACGGGACTATGATGACATATGATGTAGTATAAATAATACTGAACTATGTATATTCGTTCACTAATAAAGATATATTACAAAAAACGGGACTATTTGACCCTCCGGGGGGGGGGGCACTGCATTGAATGGCCTTTCCATATTCACACTTTCGTACCTCCGGACGATCACACAGGTCGACGATGTTAGCGGTGACAAAATTAAATAAAAAGCGTTGCAATTCAAGGAAAATAATTTTTCTATTCTAAACTTGTTAAACGATACTGCCAGATTATTTTAACAGTAAAAGGAAAAGTTTATTACGTTTTGCCAAGGAATCCTCTCGATACACTTGTGCGGAAGGCAGAAGCGCGTTGAGAGCAAAGACCTTGAGATGTCCCACGTGGCTTGACTGTCATCCTCCGTGATAGGGGCGACGCTCAGCAACAGAGCACAGGTGCATTGGCATGTCCCGGGCCCCTGCGCCTGCCTCCCCGCCCAACCCCGCTGTTCAATACGATTTCGGCGCTGCATTTCTTTACGTATTGATTTTCTTCTCTTGCTCTTTTCATTTGAGCACTACTTACAACATTCCTTAACCCATTATTTCCCTATAAAAATCCTCATAAAGTCACAAAATGAAAGAAGAATATTATACCAAGCGTGAGGTCGGTGGGGAAGGTTTCGCGATAAATATGCTTGTTTGCCAGATTTGACCGTCGGATTTGTTGTGAGATAAGAATGAATGTACTTGAGAGCAGTGATAAGCTGGGTACTGCAAGCAAAATACGCGCGGCACAATACGAGTGCGAAGTAGGGCTTGGCGGCGGCAAAGCGCGAAAGGAAGGGGGCGCGGGGGTGGGGAGGGGCACGAGGTGGAACGGCCGTTCCGCCGCCAGCCGCCCGATGCGGAAGCGCGGCTCCTCTAATCCGCTCGCATCCCCGTCGGAAGGCGGCCGCAAGGAGGAAAGCGGGGCGGGAGGGGCTGCGAGGGCCTGCCCCCGCGGGCGACGCCACGCAACCAGCACTCGCCCTTCCGGTTGCTTTCCGGCAGAGATCGCGGCCGGGTGGCCCTGTGCATTCGCTAAGGGAAAGAGAACGTAATGCATTTCTTTGCTTTTAAAAATTATATTAAAAAGGCTGGCGTAAAGTATGTTGCGTTCAAGAATCGTTGCTCTTATACTGTATGTGTGTGTGTGTGTATATATATATATCGATGTATGTCGAACAGAAAGACATTTTTAAGAAAAGATATCATTGTATCTTCATTTTGTCGTGAACGTCACGTACCGAATAAAAAGCTCTCGAATATGTTGTAGATATAACACCGTAATAGGAATTGTTCATTTGGGCATCTCCGAAACGAGCTCGGAGGTTGCTCGTCTGTGTGGTGTGACCGCGGCAGCAGCGGGCTGAAGTGGGGGCGAGGGCGGGAAGGCTATTCCAAGACGAGATGCGCGAGTAGGAAGGTGTGAAAGAGCCGGCAATGCAGCTGGGGTGGGGGTGTGGTGGTGGTGGTGGTACAGAGGCGCCGGCCGCGCTGCGCTGCGCCAGGGGCGGTCGATGTGGG